GGGGGGGGGAGAGGGACGGGTTGGGGGGTTAAGCCGCATGAGAAAGGAAGGAACGGAACTCTTGCAATAGAGCTATTGTTTTTTTATAATTTCATTGTTGTTGTTGCTTGGGAGACACAAGGGTTTGTCGCAAACCTGTAAATTTGTCATTTACAGTAAATTTCTTACCCTGGGTGCCAGACACTTTTCTAGCGCGGTTTCCGGTTCTGTCAAGTCTTTATAGTTACCCGCGCGAAAAATCCGGCGTGAGATTTCGTAGAGAGTAAAGCGTTGAATAGGCCATCTCCGATTTCCCAAAACTCTCACTTTCAAAACGAGGCTAAGTGCAAAACCATCCTTGTGATAATGAGTTTCATTTGAATTGGCCCTTTGCAGCCGGCAGTCACGGTATAAAAACGCAAGAAACGTACAGGGGTGAGATAACAAAGTGCTTATCATTTAGCCATTTAGGTCCCAAGAGTGATCAATATCGACTTTCTCCTGACAATATTAATACATCATCAAGGGGAAGGTTAGGAGAATCTGTGAGAATCAGTATAATGATCACCAAAGGGAAAATGCTTTGATCTACTATTGAATTCCCTTCAGTAATTTTTTAAATAAAATGTCTTAAGGTTACTCTGTAGAATTTGTATGTAGATAATATTTAGGCTTGAAGGGTTAAAATGATAATTAAGGGCCTGTTCACATGGACGTGGGGGACCCCAGGTAGCTGAGGAAACCCGTTGAGATGGGGTAACCCGCCTGTCTCATATGGTCACCCTACCTATCATGTAGACGCGATCAAATTAATATGAGGGATTATATGGACAGGCGGCTTACCCCACCTAAGCGGGTTACCTCACTTACTTGGGGTCCCCTACCTCCATGTAAGCAGGCCTTTACTCTGTTTTTTGTGTTTCCTATGCGTTTCTTGCGTCTCATCGTGACGTTTTTGTACCACGTGACTGACCAGCTTCAAAGGGTCTATTGGCCATGCTATAAAAATTGACGAGACTGCCGTGGCACAGCCCCCCTCGGGTTGGACATTAGAGACGTAGCTTATAAAAATACAGCGCTGTACAGTCGAACCTTCCATGAGCGTGGTACTTGTGATGGCAGTTCTGATTTGGTACTTTAGAGAGCGTGACATACACCAGAATCCATTGTTTTTCATCTACATTGTTATTCATGTTCCGTTCTTTATCCATTGTCATGCACCGATATCTATTGTTATCTTTCCTTTGTTACTTATTATTTTAAGATTCTGGTAGTATGAAACATAACCCTTAGAAGGGGTTGGTCACTTACTTTTTGACCGATGGTCAAACATGGAGGTTCCACTGTAATTATTGATAGGGCGAGATCATTTTATCGGACTTAAAGACCCACTTTTTAATGTTCGATTTTATCATGTACTTACATTTATCAGGCAGATTGTGGCAATAAGGTCTAAAATCAAGGCCACTGCGTGATTGTTAATATTATTAAACCTTGAAACTGAATTGTTTTCAGCTGAGGTTTTCGTAATTGAGACAGGTAGGCGTGGAGACACACTACCATTATTTTATGTGACGTTTACTTCGATTTTAGGCGCGATTTCTTGGCGATTTTTTTTCCGATTTTTGAGGTTACGAGGTTACGGCCCCAAAGGTCACCTATATCACCAGGTATGTGAGTCCGTGACTTCTCCGATGTTTTCGGGGGAATTGTACGAAGTGAGACCGGAAACACCTCGTAATTTCCCGAGATCACTTCTAGTTCTTTCGGCTAGATTTCAACTGCTAACAATTCATTTTTTTATGTGACTCGTGGGCTTTGAACAGGCGATTAGATCCTATCTCATTTCGACCTCTCAGTTGTTGAGGTGGCAGCTCGGCCAATTATTCTACGGCGACGTCCATATATTTCCATAGGAAAATAGGTTCAACACCGACAACTTAAAAAACCCTGTGATTGTTATTTACAATCAGTTACCTTATATCCTCTTAAAAGTCCAAATTTATGGGGAAAGAGAATATTTATTACTCACGCTGAACAGGCTGCTGCGCTGGCTAAATCGCTTATCCGGAAATCACCTACATCCATACAGTCAGAAAATCGGCGGAGGAGGGAAGAGGAATAATAATGGGGTGTTCCTTAGTCCGTTCTTACTTCCCAAAAAACTTTCGGTTATGCCATTATTCCACCCGGAAAAGGGCACTATTTCATTATTCCAACTCAAAATGAGAGATGGAAGAAACAGGGATTTCTGAAATATCTCCTCTTGGCTTCGTCTCTCTACTGAAGTCCTAGGACCTCTAGGGTGTTCATTCTCGCAACGTTTCCAGCTTTTCTGTCGACGGACCTCAATATCGACCCCCATTTTTTAATTGTAGAGGGCCCTCTTTCGAGAAAGGGGGCCCAGGTATTTGAACTTTTTCGTACCACTTGGTTTGAAATCATATTTTTTCGTCTTTAAACGACGAATTTCGACCCAGTTTGCTGCACAACCTCGCAATAGCCAATGAAAGAAGCCATAGCGCCTCCAAAACATTCCCATTGTGCAATTCGACACATCATCGACCCAGTCTTACGCTGTACATAAGGGTGGCCAATTAAGTGGATGTAAGCAATGTGTCGATAATTTACCGCGCGATTGTATTACCAAGGGCGTAGCTACCTGTACGCACGTGCGTAACTGAAAAGTCCGCCAGGTAAAAACAAAATACCAAATAAATAAAATAAGGAAGTGAATGAGAAAAAAGCCTTAAAGCAAAATATGATTATTTTAAAAGGCACACTTTGCCCTAATCCATTAAACTCTGCTTGTTTCTGGGAAATGATATTTTCTAAAAGAACGGGCTGTACTTTCCACAACCGATTGTCAGTTTGCAGGAAAGAGACGTGAGTTACTTATGTACTCAATCTTGAATGGTGCGGTATATTTAGGGCCTGTTTACATGAAGGTGGGGGACCCCAGGTAGGTGAGGTAACATGTGGCGGGTTACCCCACCTAACATATAAACGTGATCACATTAAAATAAGAGATTATATGGACAGGCGAGTTCCTACCTAAGCGGGTTACCTCACCTACCTGGGGTTCCCCACCCACCACGTAAACAGGCCCTTAGAGAATAGGCAACGCCCCTGATTACATTTTGAATAACACAACATGAACTCAATCCTTAAGTACGAATTTGATAAGTCAAATGTAATATTTCCAATTTATTTCAAACATTTTTAAGTCTACAAAAACATGTCTTATTTATTATCTTGTTCAGAAATGGGAGGGGAAATCGGTCAAAAAATCACTCCCGTGAAATTTTGGTTCACAGTTTTTGGATGTAAATGTAATAAACAATATCGTTAGAACTATTCGTCTCACTACATATCTAGTAAAAATGCAAGGGTTCCTTGCAAACGAAGTGAGAACTAGATACATTTTAAAGTGGATGGAAATGGTTCATAGCTCTAACTTACTATATATTTAATTTACTTCACTGCTGGATCAACGAACCTAGTTCCAAGTAACGTAAGTAAAAAATGTTTAAACACAAAAACAAAACAAAACAGTCAAATGATCTTTACGGTGAGAATAGTGAAATAGAAGAGAAAAACCGTGAAAATAATAAAATAAAATGTGTTTTGCCAGGGTCTTCCTTCTTCCCGTTTCGAGGGAAAACCCTGGGTGTAAGGATGTTGGATCATCGCATCAAAGCTCTTTATCAGTTAAAGCTATGATAATGGTCCCAAACAAAGACTAGTTCATCGGGTGAGCAAGATGAACCGTTCGTCTGGTTTTTACTCTCAGAGTGATGTATCAGCATATCACAACAGTGAAATCTAGAAAGATAATGCTACAAAAGTAGACATAATATAGCCCTTCAAAAAGCCATGCGTTTGGTTAAGATAATGAAATCAGAACTGCAAGTCTTTACAAGTCCTTTTAGGCCAAGTTGGACCCTTTTTCTACTGTTCTAAGCTATTCAAAGCGAACTCGCGTAGAAAATTTCCGCCATGAATTAGGGATCGTGAATAATTAATGACGTCCAGGTATTCCGCGCGATATGAACTTTCAGATCTTTCAACAAAGGACACCCTGATCCGAGAAACTGTCTTCCTTTTGTGCCTTTGAAGAACTTTAACCGAAAGAGGACGTAACCCCTTTGAACAAGGGTACCAAAGTAAACTTACATAATTTGCTTAATTACCATTTTTGATAAGGGGCCAAATGGCTCAGAAAAATGTCAAGTTTTTTTCCTTCGTCAGCAAAAGTTGCCCAGAAATAGGCTTTCTTACTGGTAAATTTGTTCAACTGTCCCAAAACACCGCACTCCATGACCATGTTGAAAACATCACTGCTTTGAATTTCATGGTCCACAGAGAGGCTCTTGTCGTAAACAAACATTAACTGCTTCGGGTGACAGTTCAGCGGTAAAGTTTGAACCTTTACAATAAATGCCTGCGAACCGTTCCTTTTCGGTGGAGGGCATTTACCGACGTCTTTCAAATGTGGTCCAAAGAATCGAAATTTAACTTTATCATTTTCACAGGTTTCCAGAAGCTCTACCGTTGTAGAGTAACGTCTCTTTAACACTTCGCACAATGATTTATGCTTTTGCCGGTGATTTTGTAGGCAGTCTAGCCCACAGTAAACAGCAATATAGCACTCTGGACATCTCTTCACGCCTTTCTGGCACAATTTGCCGAAACAATGGCAGCATCCAGTTTCTAACCTTTCAATTGCCTCTTCTGGATGAAACAAACCCTCTGTATTGTTGAATACTTGATTGCTTTCTTGGGTTAGTGGATAGGAATAAAGGTTTGTTTCTCCTGGTGGAAGACGGAAGTATGGGTTCCACTCGTGAATTCTGCTTGCGTCGGGAAATGGTCCCTCTAGGTAATGTAGAGACGGTCCTGCATGGTCTCGAATAACGTTCGAGTTTATAGCAACTTTCCCACAAAAATTAATGCCTATGAAAATGCCGCCACACTTATTGCCAAATATGTCATTTCCCATTATTTTTGCTGAAGTTCTAGTTGTGCAAAGAATTCCCCAGAAGCCATTCTCAAAAATGTTGTTGTTACTGATCGACAGGTGACTATCTGTCAACGACAAACCAAAGGCCATGTTGTGATGGATTTCATTGCCATCCACGGTCACAAGGGCCTCCTGCTTGTTGTTTGCGACATATGCACCCTCTTGGTGATTTTCGAATATCTTGTTATTGCTTATCAAACAACACCCCGGGTCCGGCCCTATTAAGAAACCATGAGTACTATTGCCATAAACGTTGTTTTCTGTTGCAATAAGTTGACCGCCATTTCTTGCCTCAAGGCCATTTTGGTTGCTGTATACCTCGCATTTCCGCACAAACAAGCGAGACCCTTTATCTGAAACCAAAGCACCACCACCCCCGCAATGATGTATCTGACTGCGTGTAATATACACTGTACTACCACCTTTGACCTGAATTCCGGGGTACCCAGTGAAGCCTGATTTGTGTGGCACACCAAAGGTGAGGGTTCGGTCACAAGTCGGCTCTCCACGCAAGGCAGCGACACATCCCTCTCCCCCATTACACTCTGGATAGTCTTGGCAGCGTGAAAAACCAGCTGAGATCTCACAGTGGCTGAAATGAATTATCGCACTTGCACCTTGGCAAACCAAAGGCGGATTCCCACGTGGAAACCTTACGTTTTGAAAAAAACAGGTAACATTTTGAACTACAAAGACTTGTCTACAATTTAAGACAGCTCCTGATCCAAGACCGACCACGTGAGTATCGAATCTGGCGACCACGAACTGACTGACATCATACTCTCCCTCGAGCAGAAGTAGTGTTTTATTAGCTTGGAGAAACTGCAGTGCCTTCTCTAACTGATTACTAGAGCAAATTACTTCATAATTCAGATGCAGAAACCGTTCATTTATGAAACTTCTGTTAGACGAATTTGAGTCGAGGTGATGAGCTAACGCAGCAGTAGCCACTGCATTTCCTTTCAAGTTGTCCTGGCATTTGGCTCCTTTCATGAGTTCGTCAAGAGCCCAGACCTTGCGTAATAGTGCTTTGCCGTAATTGGGTTTAAGTGAAAGACACTCTTCACAATCATCTAAAGCTTTCTTCGGCTTGCTAAGTTTTAAATGACAAAGTGCTCTGTTGGAGTATAGACGGTAGTCCTTGGAGTTTAGTTCAATGGCTTTGTTGTAAAGACTTGACGCTTTCCCATACTCTTTAACTTGTACTGCTTGGTTTCCTTCTTGTCTTAACTGGTCGGCATGATTAATTCTGTGAGTATAACTGGAATCTTCAGGATTAGATGGTCGTTCTCTCATGCAATGGGATATCAACTTGTAGTACTTGTCTTTGAGAGGCATATTAAAATGAAGAAGGTTCAATGTTTCTTCAGATGGTGACTTTTCGAGCAGAGTAAGATACCCCAACTTTTTTTTCTGGATTTCTTGAGCTTTAACCTTTTCACGCGCTACACTGTAAGATATTGCGCTCTCGTTCAAAAGACGTACTGTTTCCCCTGTGTGAAGCAGAATGCAAGCAGATTCCTCGTTCTTTGTAGTGAATTTAAGCATGTGATCAAGGAAGTAAGTTGCGTGAGAGGCCAGCTTCCCCCAAAGGTACAGCGAAGGAGGATTCTTGACACTAAATACAGCATCTTCGCTAAAGTCTTTGCACACCTCTACCGGCGAACGGGTATTTGAAAGCGCATGGTGCAGAAAACGTGTCCCAGCGATGAAAGCAAATTCCTTGGGGAAAAAATTTTTGCAAAAGACATCTTCTTTTCGTTTTTCATCCATCCAGGTGCGGATCACTTCTTGAACTAAACGATGCACAGAGTATGAATTTGCCCCAAACTGTTGAAAGAGAGAGAGGTTTGTCAAAAGGCTCATTACCTCGATCCGTCTCAAGGAACTGCTCATAACGTTCAGTAGGCTTGGGGAGTCTACTGGGGGAAGTCCTTCGTTGAAAACTTCCCTGGGAATATCGTCAGGACCAAGAAAAGCGAAGATTTCCATTAAGAGAGTCGCAACCACCCGTACGTCTTTGTCATAAGATTTACTGTTAGTGATGTGCTCGAAATTCATCAGCCACGTAGTATGGACTGCCAAACGGTCTTGAGATGTGTATTCATCTGGTTCTTGTGCTTGCATCTTTTTCAGAAGCTCGAGTTTCTCAATCTGCTCTCTATATTGCTTAACGTAGTCGCTTATGGAACAGGAAAGGTACCGTATATATGCTGCGGCTTGGTCAAGAGCCAAAGGTAGACCACTAAGTTCACTCGCCAGTTCACGAACTTCACTGTCTTCCCCCTCCGTTCTCCTAGTCTTCTTTCTTAAAAACTCAACACTCTGTTCTTGCGTTAGACGTTTCAGCTCTATACAAGACTTCTCTTCGATTCCTGTTTCCTTAAGTATTTCCCTTGGTTCTCTCCTGGTAGTAATTATAACATGGCCACGTGATCCTTGCTTCCATTTGCCCCTAAGTAACTTGCGCATGTCTTCGGACATCTCCAGTTGGTCGAGGTTATCTACAACTAAGCACCACATCTTGCTCTGCTTTTTAAGCCATGCAAGGGCTTTCATTAAGGTAAAGGAAAAGTCGGTCTCAGGTGAGGTTATTTGCATCTCCAGAGCCATTTCTATGACAGAACTTTGAAAGGTCATGTTACTTTCCCCAGAGATCCAGAAAATACCACCCGGATACTCATTCTTGTGTCTCCAAATATACTCAACAGCAAGTGACGTTTTACCTATGCCACCGAGGCCGTATATGGCTGTATCCACACAACTGTTTTGGTTGCCTTTAAGGATACCTAGAATAGCGCTAAGTTCGTTCGCACGACCACAAAAGCAAGTATTACGTCTAGGCGCTAGAAACGCGGTCGCATCATTGGTAGCCGAAGCGTTCAAATGGTCTTCCAAAGAGGATTCCAACGCCTTCACCTTTTGGTCTGTATTAGCACTTTTCTTTTCCAAACGGTCTACTTTTGATGCCACAGATGCTTGTAAGTCCTTTTGGTCTCTTTCCAAACTAGCCATTTTTACTTCGCTTTCATCTTGACGTACCCCAACCTTCTTAACATTTTTAGAAAGATCGCCAATGGCACTGGATAACGCTTCGTTCGTTTCTGACTGTTCCTTATGTTGTTCCTCCACTCGATTCTCAAGTTGGGTCAGGCGCTTCTCAATGCTATCACGCAAATTCTGCAGGGCATCTAAACACTTCTGAACTTCGTCCATGCCGGTTTTCCTTACCTCGTCGAGATCATGCTGCAGGTTGGCAACTTCGTCAACAACAAGTTTCAACAACTCTTTATCCACAGGACAGCCAACGCACAGGTCCACCCCTACAACAAAATTGTTAACATTTGATATCAGCATACTATTGAAGACTACTTAAAAGACATGACAGGCAACTGCGTCTTTTTGGTGGCCTACAAATGTAACGAGCGCGGGTTGATTTGAGGTCCTCATGATGGCGGGCGGTGTATTACAAATTTCGTAGTTTGTTCAAAGTGATGCCAAACCTTACTTTTTCGTCGGATATATATTTTTTTAACCCTTGTCGGCCTACTGACAAACATGATCTACTCGACAGCTCTTTTCCTTTCTGGGTTTTGTAGAAAAAACGCTTAAAGGTTTCTTTTTCTTATGCGCCCAATATTTTATATTTACATGATGGAAGAATGGTCACCGTTAGGCAGTTTCAGACATCAGTAACAATAATTGTTATTACTTAAACTTTTTTCAAGTTTTAAGGCAGCTACTACTGACTTATTGTTTTGGCGTGGTTTCTTTCACCTCAATTTTAAATTTTTTATCGCCATTTAGCAATAATAGAGACCTTTGGATTCCAAAGACAAGGATGATTGTCTACAAGGACGAGATTTTCTCAATACTAAGTGGTGCTCGCGCGTGAACCAGAGTCGTTTGGGCGAAAAAACGTAGCCATCGTCATTCTGCTACGGGCGGAAACAAGTTAGAAGCTTTATCATTTTGCGATCTGGATAGTGCTTAACCTCCTTCAATAAAAACTAAGGTGAAATGAAGCTTTCTGGGGTGTCCATTTTTTTGGGAAAACGCAAAAAATCTTTAAGTCAAATCTCGTCCTCGCGGTCGTCCTACTCCCCGCGTATCATCTAAAGGTCGCTAATATTAACATCGACAACACGAAAAAGCTGCCTCAGCTACTTACCTCTCTTCTCCCAGTCACGAAGGTCGTTAAGTACTTTCGCTTCATCTGCGCTGGGAAGCTTCAAAGAACGAAGCAAATTTTCCAACAGCACAAAACAATTTTTGAACTCTGGATCAGTCCAGTGGTCAAAGTTGCAATGTCCCCACTCATTTCTCACTTTAGAACGCACATCCTTGGCATAGGGTGAAATTGCGCTAGCAACAAATATAGACGCTCTCTCTAGAATTCCTAATACGCTGGAAAGGTCGCATGTGTTGTCAAATCCTGCAAATAAAAATACAGTGATAAGCTTATCTTTTTCCTGGTTGACCGAGCGGAGCCAACCCGTACAGGACATCGTGTTTTATATGGAATACCCCCCCCCCCCCCCCCCCCCCCCCCCCCCCCCCCCCCCCCCCCACCACTCACACCCGCCCAGCCCAAAAAACAAAAAAAACAAAACAACCAACCAACACAAAAAAAAAAAAATAAAAAAAATCATACACATATTTTTCTTTCTATTATCTATCTTCTATCCCTTTCAATGAACGAGGCAAGAAAGTTTGATGGTGTTGTATTTTTTTATGGTTGAGCAGAGTGGACGCACCCTCAGCAGCTAGGTTCATTTTTTAAAAATATCCCCCCCCCCCCCCCCATCCCTCCTTAGAAGTCACAATGCTGATAGCGAGAGCTCTGAGCAAAAAAAACCAAGCTAATACGCCTCTTAACAAAACAACAGGAGTTAATCCATGACTGACTTTCTATTCATTTTAAAGTATCCCACCTGTGAACTTGGCCATGTGTGGCTCAAGATAAAGTTTAGCCAAGTCCTCAGATGTTCCAACTTTGTAATCATACGAACGCACTGTTTTCTTAAAGTTGCCCAAGTTATTATTGATGCTTCCATAATTCAGCTGCAATCGTCCATCATGTCTCAAATGACTTCCAAAGACTTGAGTGTCAATTCCATGTGCCCTGTTCAGGGATGCGTAGTATTTGGGCATTTCTTGACCTACAAAATCACGGAGGACTGGCAACAGAACTCTGTTCAAACAAATCCCGATCACAACCCATCTCTTCTGGTTCTCCCCAAGATCAAAACTGCTGACTGAAAAAGTACAGCATATGAAACAGTTTGATTTACTTAAAAATTTGTCAAACAGCTTTCAACTGAGGATTAACTAAAATCACGAATTGCAAGGACATGGCTTTTTCCCTCATATTTTAAGAATCAATAGTATGACGTGGCCTTTGAGCCATATAATAATATACAAATGTGTTCCATATGTGTGGCACGGTGTGAAACATTGGGCGAATGCAGGGGTGATCTAAAGAGAGTCAGTTTTACAGCTTTCCATTCGGGCAAGGCTCTCTAACTAGGATGTACTCGCCCAAAAGTCATTATTTCAACTGGCCCCAAAAACTCTTTGATGGACGGGATTGATGACACAATTCTTCTGTAACTTGAATTCCTCCAAAAAAAAAACTCCACTTACCCATTGGGCAAGTTAAGAACAAACTGAGTCACTGGCCCGATGGCAAAATCTACTATAAATACTTTCTTTGCATGGTGAAAAGAATAATCTTTACTCTTGCAGGTAGTTTCTTAGTGTTGTGGATGGGTGTGATCACTAAAGGATGTTATACAAAAGATTGAAAAGACACTGAACAATATCCACAACACAAAACAATTAAGCTAACCGACAACGGTTTTCGTAACATCAAGAAACATCCTACTTAAAATACTTTTAGTTCTGATTAACTCTTTTTACCAGGTCCAGCAGAAGTTGCGGCTCCAGTCACAACTGTTGGTGCCGCAGCAGTACCTGGAAGAGTTGGTGGCACTGCTCCACCCATTGCCATGGTGACCTGAAAATAAGATGTATTCAAGACTCTGAAAGCAATCACTGTTGTCATAACTACAACAAGGTTATCTGATAGGCTATGTATTTGCAGTCCGGACATTTTAGCGTCAATAGATGGACCTTTACAGATCTTTACACTGGACTTCTGAAGTCCGCTTGAAGTGCATTTGAAGTGCACTTGAGACTAACTTGTGTGTGAACGGATCCTGTTTCCCGCGTGCCCTGCGCGTTACCCATTTCTCACGTTTCGCGGCCAAATACCTTGAAATGAGCTGAAATATGCGCAGTCATAGACTTTTAGTGGGCAAGTTATTATATAAAATGCAGGTTTATTTCCTTGGCTGTGGTGCAGGGTCAGGCCCAATAACCACGTTTCATAACTATCACTTGTTTTGAATAAGCGTAAAAGAATTTTCTTTAATGGTTTACAATCAAACAGCTTCTATTTTCTGTGAGTTAAATTCAAAACGGCGAATCGCTCCGTCTCCATTCATCCATTGCATTGGCTTCTTATTTGTCTTATGTTACGACACTTTTTACATCACCTGTTTTGTACCTTCAGAAAAATTATTTATAACTCAACTTCCATAAGGCAATTCTTTTGCATATCATTCGAACGTATGGTAGAGGGAAAGCAAAATCGTTCGCTGTTCGGGCTGTTACGAGTGTTACGCCCCACTTGTTTTTCGTAAGACTTATGACAGTTTGTCCTTCGATCGTAGAGGATTTGTGTTCACGATTTCATGTACTAAAGGATAGGGCATTCGCAAATCTACGTGTTTTATATAACGTGCACAGATGTGACGGTAAATTACGCATGTATAGTACAAAAACAAACGACTACCTGCCTCGATTTGTTGTGACTAAAGTAAGCTTTAAGCTCATTTAGATTTTTAAAAACTTACGGAAGGCCGGGACGGAAAGATCCTTCAGAGTCTGCTGATCTGGAGGAATTGCTCTTGAAAATCCGTGGATTAATAAACGAGTGTGCTCAAAATACGCCAAGTGTGATTACAAAAAATTAAACTTGCTTTCAATCACATTTGCTTTAAGACAAAACTATGCGAACTTTCGTTTTTCCCGGAATCTATCTGGAAGGTTCGATGTAGAATGAGAGGAGGTGTAAAAATTTAACTGGGACGGACTATTGGATTAGTTAGACAAGGGAGCAAGCGTTATTTCTCTCCCAGTTCCCCCTATACAAAGCAACGGTATGAATGGGAAAAACAATGTTTGCGTTTGTCAGAAGTAAAGGAAAATATAAAGTTTTAGCCTGGTACGGTCGTTCCTTTATTTCTCGTCAAAATGAATCATGTCCAACCGGGCAATGCCCGAAAAAATTCCTGTGTTACACATCAATGACAGCTCATGGAGCTAGGTTAGCCTGTGTGACACCTGCTTTATTGTGCCTATGGGCCGCCATTTTGGATTGGTGAGAAGTAACAAAAATTCAACATGTACATTGAATGGTTATGGTTTAGTGTCGACTCTTTTGTAAATTATTTGGGCCGGATTTTAACTTTTGTAAAGTTATCTGGTTTTACGGATCTTATTTTCTGAAAAGCGTCATAGTTTATTGGGAAATCACTAAGCGTGAACAAATTTAAATGCGCATTTTTTAACAGTTGGCTGCATGGGGTCTTTGTTTTGCAGCGAGACATACGAAATGAGTCCTATTCCTAGAAGTAGCAGAAGTGTTTCCGAGAAAGTGAAGGAAGAGAAAAATGGACTTGTGAAGCATCACGGAAAATACAAATTAAATTGATTTTGACAGAAGCCCTGATTTGAGAAAAAAATAACTAAAATTTAAGCCTTTGTTTGACTTTGTCTATGTGATTAATATTTCGAGTCCCCGTTATGCCGAGTTGACTTCTTCTCTGCGGCCACTTGAGTAACAGAAAAGCAGCTCTTGATCTGGTTGCTGTGTCGTCGGCGAAGCGTTAAATTCGAGTTAAATGCCCTTTGGCGAATTTGAAACTGAGGTATTTTTCACTTGTTGTTAATCGCGATGAGACGAGAATGAATTTTTCCACCTCTGAGGACCTAACTATTCAACAGTATTACACTGAAAAATATGGCTCAATCGAAAATTTGATTGGTAAAGCCAAGAATGGCGAAATCGTCGCCCAAGCAGATCTGGGAATGGCTTACTCAGAGGGTTTTGGCGACGTGTTGCCGATGGACGATGACAAAGCCATTGGATGGCTTAACACTGCTGTAGAAAACGGTAATGAATTTCCTACCGTCCTTGCAAAACTTGGTGAATTGTTAGACAGGAAAGGAACACCACTATATCAGCGAAAGGCGTACGAGATGTACCTCAGGGCAGCGAAACTGGGCTTTGGAAATTCTCAGTTTAATCTAGCAGAAATGTATCGATGTGGGGTTAATGGAGTCGTGAACAAAGACATCAAGGAAGCATTTAAATGGTATAAAAAAACAGCTGATGAAGATATGAGTGGTGGCCAACATGATGCAAAGAAACCTGGTACATTATTAGCTGGGACGATGAGAAAATTTGGAAATACCGTGGATCGTACAAAATACAAGGAGTTCAAAAAATATTATGAACTGGGTCAAGATGCTGAAGAGAAAAGACTTCCTTTTTTTGATCCTGTTGATCTCCCCTTGAAAGATTGGATGACTCCTGTTTATATGGAACTTCCCAACATTACAACGCTACAGGCCAGGTGTGGCAATAAAGTGTGCAAGAGGAAGGGCAAGGAGATAAAACTGAAGTCCTGTGCTGCTTGTGGGATCCAACAATACTGCAGCAAGTAAGTACAATTATTACATATACCTATTTATTTTTAGTAAGTTTCATACAGCAATAAAATCTTTTTGAAGGCGTGTCATTTCATGGCATAAACGTCCATATTTCATTTTCACACACTGAATTCCAAAACTGACTAGTAGTGAACGGCATGAGTACCTTTACAGTTATGTTTCTAATTAGCCTCGAATTCCGCTGCTCTCTGATTCATCACATATTTAAAGGATTTCCCTGGTGGGACGGTTGAAGAATAAAAATTTTAGTGAAAACGAGTTTTCTTCCTTAGGACTTCAATATTTATACCAACGCGCCATTAGCTCTTGGTTGTAAGCATTTCTAAGCACCGTTTTTAGTGTCGTATTTTACTGCCATTTTCAAAAGCACGCGAACTCTGAAGTTCAAAAGCAGCCTTCAGAATTGCGTTTTTCGCTGCCTTCAATTATAATTATATGATCACAAGAAACGAACCTTCAAAACGAGAAACACTCAAAACGAATCGAAATCCACCAATCACAAATCACAAGCCATGAACTTTTGAACCCGTTGAAACAGCTGTTGAAGTAAACCTCTGTTTCTTAACAGATCCGCTATAAGATGATTGACGGCAGGCAAACGTCAGCCAAACGCCGGTTGGCTTTTGAACTTCAGAATTCGAGAGTTTTTGAATAGCGGAGTAAAAGTGAGAAAGGTGTACTAGCAGCATTAATTTAGAATAGGAAAGGGTTTTTAGGCTTCTCAGGAAGAATAACCATTTTTGTCGTTACAATCATTTGCAGAGACTGTCAGAAAGCTGACTGGAAAAATCATAAACCTGCTTGCATTTCTTCTAGAGGATTCAAGGCAAGGGGAACTTCCACGAGCTGAGTTTACTCCACTAAACCAGCAACTGTATAATATCGGTCTTAAACCCTTTATCACGAACACTACTTTTGTTTTCAGGACGTGTATTCGAAAACGTTTGAGAGAAAATCGGATGTATTCTGAATGTTCACTTCAACATATTCAAAATAACATACATGCTATTTATTCGCGACTTTGTAGTGTACCTTTTTGTATTTTCAAGCACCTGCCACAATTGTTTGCTACTTTTCAGTCGAGTCGATTATCTTCTTTGCTGTTACTATATTCTCAGCTGTAGTAAAGAACAAGCGTTTATCCTTCCTAGGAGCACACTTGTAGCATTGTTTTGACACGTTTTATACGCAGTTGAAAACTGCGTTTAAGGGCAAATAGTTTGTAAGGGGATGAAATATTGCTACTCGTTAATGAAACAATTTAACCTTTATTTGTGTGGCATAGGAATTTTGACATACACAGCTGTATTAATTAAGTTGCTTTTAGTTAATGGGGGGATGAGAAATATTTGTAAACAAGCAGTTATTCAAACTCTTGTTCATACAACCAAGAAAGTTATAGTGAAGGATCAGCACTTCTTGATGTATAGAGGACAACAAACAAACAAATCAACAAAGAAACAAAACAAAACTTTTTGACTGGTTGTGGAAGAGAATCTTTTTTAAGACGTGTTGTAAGAAGGATACGTTTAAGACACTTTCATTAGCCTGTTGCAGGCTCCAAGATAGTAGGCTGATTTAGCAACAGGACTGGAACGTCAGCTAACGACAGGAAAGCGCGCGGGAAGGACTAAACACGACTTCTGGTGCTCAATTTGGCGCTCTGCCATTGGTCAAGCCAGTTGTTTGATTTGCGCGAGCCGTCGTCAACTGACGTTCCCGTTTTGTTGCTAAATCAGCCTAGTACGTGCTGATGCCGCCTCCCTCTTTACCAGATCACGCGCGTCCTATATTCCCCTAACGTTGTTGTCGCGACGGACGCGACGTAACCTTGCTACTAGGGACTGTAAAATCCAACAAAGCGGACGGCAACGAGAACGTCAAAAAAACTATAGGTTTTATAAGTAAAACAGGAACTTTTCACATGCATCACGCTTGTTTGTACATTTCTTTGTCCGTTTTTGCAGGGCTACGACTATAAATTCTGCCTAATCTCGCGTTTCATGGAGTACGTAAACAAGCAACGACGAAATTTTTATTTCTCTTTCTGAACTTGGATATGGCCCCTAGGTATTCAACTCCAGTAGGGTTAGCCTACATTTGACAAAGTAAGTGGGTAGGAATAATCGCGATGAAGACTGAAAGAACGCAAATTCACTTCTTAAACGACGTTCTCGTCGCCGTCGCGTCGTTGGATCTTAAAGTTCCTAATATCTGAGAGCCAAGCACAGCCTTCATTCGCAAGACAACTAAGGACACTTAATGTTCTCGTTTTACCCTACAAAGCAGCAAATATAGCCTACATGAAAGTGCCCCACCCCACCCAAGTTCAAAGCACAGTAGGACTAAACAAACACAAGTAAAAGCTAATTGGTAAATATATCACTAGCTTCCTTGTACAGTATACTGTAATATACTATTAGTAAAGGTGTTTTCCGGAACTGAAAATGCATATTGCTGCTGATATACAGTCGCATATATTTTTATATACCTGATTAGGTGCTCAAGGTCACAAGATTTGAAGTAAAGAATTCATTAACTGATCCGATTGTAATGTCTTGCTCTTAAACTTAATGTTGCTTAAACTTTGACTATCTTTGTACAGCTCAAACTATAACTTTGAATAGCAGAGCAGTGCAGTTACAAGAAATTGGATCATCGCAAAAAGGAAGGTAATGTCGATTTCTAACTTCTTACATTCACATAGGTTACTAAATCCTTTTTTATAGTAATATTTTAAGACTCATTAATATTTAGTACGCATATTGTCCCACTGGCTTTACGAAATTGATCGCGTGTAAGGAGCTGTATAATTCAACAAAGTCAAAAGTCAGGGAGACTTAGGGTCGAATTACTGAGGGCACGTTTACACGTACCCGTTTTCGTTTAAAAACAGGGAGTACTTTTCGCCGGTTTGGCCTACCACCCAAACGTATCCGGTGGAAACGCTGGCTTATCGTTTTCGTGTGCACGGACGAAAACGGAGGTTTTTCAAATAAGATGATGTCATGTATCTTATAGCGCATTCCCTGTAAGGCATGCAATCGTATTTCCAGCGTTTTCATGTGGATAATTACAAGTGAAAAAGATTCAGTATGCTACGTGAACACGTATTTTTTTTGAAAACGCAGAAAAAACTCCACATTCTTTACAGGTGCGTGTGAACGAGGCCTAAAAAGGTAGAAAGCTGATTTAATTAGGATACTTATTTTATGCAAAGGATAACATGAAATATTATTATACATCAGACTCACTATGAATTATCTGATTGGTCGAGAGCATTCAATCGATTCACAATAGCTTGTGAACTTGACATGATAAATGCAATATCTGCTGCAGATATTGCATTTATCATGTCAAGTTCAACGTCTGCCTGGTTACCAAGCCCCCTATCCGTTATTTACTGTTTTGTTGGCACTACATACCTTCCTGGTTGATACATTTCAGTGTGACTATTTCTTGCACCTTTAAAAGCCACAGTCTTTCTGCTTTTTTGCTACTAAAGTCATCCTGTAGCTGTTTTAAATTGAATTTGTCGCATACCTATCATCTTTGCCTATCTAGTAACTTCCTTTTCCTTTCCCAAGAATTTTTACTACACGCCAAAGGGGCAAAAGTGACGCCTTAGTTGTTTAGTCTCCACTACCTTAAAGCAAAAATATTTAAAATTTTCTATAAAGTGATCAGCCGACGAAATTTATTGAATTTTTTACCCCTGTATCTTGCGTGAACACATAAACGAATGAAAAAGGTTAGCACCGTCGCGCGCATTTTAACCCAAATCTTTCTTAACAAGAAGGTGGCGTTGGCTTGATAAAAGCTTGGGATGTCGTTTTCTGATGCTGAGCTTGAGTTTACCAAATAAGTAAAAAAGACAGCTGTGAATCTCGTTGACTTTCTCTCCTCATGTCCCATTTCCTTTAAAAATATGACGAGAATTGTTCTTTTTTTTTTGTGCCTATAGAATTCAGCCGCCGCTCTTTCTTCAGAATATATTTTTTAAGTAGTCAGAATCCTTCGGGTGTGGCTACTACATTGCTACTAAAGGTGTCCGTACTCCCGTTAGACACCCCTAGAACAAAAGGTCATTTCTCTATTTCTGGTTCAAGACAATTTGTCTTCTACTGGTCTTCAGCTCGACCATATCGATGTCCCCTACTACCCGTGGCACCCTTCCGCCCTCTTTAGTTGGTCTATAACCCTACCAAACAATTACCTCAGGGCGCCCTATACTAGCCTGAGTGGCAGGCGTTAAAAGGGGAAGGGGAAGGGGGAATTTGGGCGCACGAATTTGGGCGCCCCCTCCTCCCTTCTCCCTCGCGCGCAGTCTCGCGCCCTAATTCCCTTCCCCTTCCCTTTTGAACACCTGCCACGCAGTCTAGCCCTATATATACGTTTGTACGTGCGCAGGGATACCCCCTCCAGTTTTAAATGATTATGTAGAAGGACTCTAAGAACAGTACTTCCCGTCCAAATATGCTTGGCAAGCCGTACCTTTTTCAAGTTACCACTCTTGATATGGAGCCAGGTGGTTTAGAAAAATGGTCAGTTTCTCTCCTTTCTCAGCAAACATAGCCCAGAAAAAACATTTTTTGCTGGTGAATTTGTTTAACTCCCCTAGAACGCCGCATTCCATTATCACGCTGAAGATTTCTGAGCTTTGAATGGTGCAATCTAGAGAAAGGCTTTTGTCGTAAAGGACCAACAACTGCAACGGATGGCTATTAAGATTTTGGGTTTGAATTTTTACAATGAACTTCTTGCGACTGTTCCGACTGAGCTTAGGGCCAGTCCCAAGACCTTTTAAATGAGACCCAAATGTTCGGTTTAAACGTTTTCCTTGCCCTGGTCCAAGCATATCAAGAGAAAGAATCTTGACTGTCAGGGAATAACGGCTTTTCAGAGCTTCACAAAGTGCTTTGTGCGTTTGCCAGTGTTTGCTTTGGCATTCTTTGCTGCAATAAGACGCAATGTGACAAGTTGAACACTTCATAAGGTGGCTCACGTTATTGCCTGAGCGTCGACAAAATGTGCATCCACTGTAAACTCGTTCAACGACCTCTTGTGGGTGATAAATGCCCTCCTCGTTGTTAAATACTTTGTTTCCAATGAGAGTGGGAGGTTTAGAATAAAACTCGGACTTTTCTCCTCTTGGAATATAAATGGGGGTCTTTCTTATATCGCTCGGTAAATTTCTTTCATCGACGGGAAAACTGTCCATGGTTTTAGCACACTCAAGCCACGGCCCACCATGATCTCGGACAATGTTTGATTCTAGGTAAATTCTCCCAGAAAAATTAACACCTATGTAAATGCCACCACATTTGTTGCCAGAGATAACGTTTGCTGTTATATTTGCAGACGTTCGTGTTTTTGCGATGATACCCCAAAATCCGTTCTCGAATATCCTGTTCTTACGAATCAAAAGGTGAGAATTGTTATCAAAAGAAAGGCCAAACGGCCCGTTGTGATGAACATCATTGTTATGTATGTTTATCTTCTTCGAATTTGTGATGACAAGCATGCCCTCTCTTTTATTTTCAAAGATATTGTTGCCACTGATGTTACATTCGCCTGCCATCGGACCAAGAACGATGCCATGGTAATTATTGTCAAATATACGATTTCCAAAAGCAACTAGTTTTCCACCTTCTCTGGCTTCTAGGCCTTGTTGGTTGTTTTTGTACACTTCACATTTTCTTACCTCCATGCGAGAATCTTCCATTGCAACTAGAGTGGCTCCTCCACCGCAGTTATGAATTTTACAGTTTTCGATAACTCCAAACGCGCCATCTACAATCTGGATTCCAGAAGAGCCTACCATGCCAGAGATGGAAAATGGTTCTCCATATTTTCCTGTACGATTACAGACAGGCTTTCCCTGAGAGGCTGCTTTGCATCCAGGACCTCCGTTACATTCCGGAAAATCCTCACAACTTCTCAGGCCTCCTGAAATTTCACAGTGATTCATATGAATAACTGCTTTCTTGCCTTGGCAGACTAGACCTATGTTTCCTTTGGGGAAAATGATATTCTCCAGAAAGCAACTGGAATCGAACATTACACAATGTTTGGGACATATTAAAGTGGCTCCCTTTCCAAGACCTACAATCTGGATGTCAGTATAGGACAAGAAGGACTCTAAATTGTACTCTCCTTCGTGCAAAAGTAAAGTTTCATTTCCCTGAGTCGTCATTAGGGCAAAAGCCAATTGCGTTGCGCTGTTTATTTCTCGGGCCCAGTGTGTATGTACATCCGGAAACATTTCACAAAACGTTTTGTCATTTCGAAGACTGGGATGAAAGTGAACAGTCACTGCCAGTGCTGCTTTCCTTTGCCCGTTGAGGTAGGTAGTACCTTTTTTAACGAGATCACGAAGTGCCCAGGTCTTACGCTGAAGTGCTTTGCTATAGTTGGGATTTAGGGAGAGGCACCTTTCACAATCTTCCAGAGCTTGCTGAGGCAGGCGAAGTTTTAAATAACAAAGAGCTCGGTTGGCGAAGAGTCGATAGTCCTCGACCTTCAAATCAATGGCTCTAGAATAAAGTTCCAACGCCTCTTGAAACTTGCCACTTTGTATTGCAAGATTGCCTTGTTCCCTTAACTGGCTAGCATTTTCCTCCCTTCCAACACCAAAAGTGTCTTCTTCATTGAGGGAATTTTCCTCTGGATCAGGTTGCCTCATACAGTGAGAAATCAGCTTGTAGACTCTGTCCTTTAAAGGGATGTCAATGAAATACTTCAACGACTTGGTGCCATCCTCTGCGGTGGACTTTTTGACGTTCACCAGACAGTCCAATTTAATTTCCTGTATTTCTTGAGCTTTAACTTTCTCTTGGGAAACACTGAAAAATATACCAGCTTCGTTCAAGACTCGCACTGTTTCTTCTGTGTACAGCAAGGCATGGACTGACTCTTTGTGCTTGGCTGAGTAACTGCGCAAATGCTCCTGCAAATAGGTGGAATGTGAGGCTAACTTACCCCACAGATGCAACGAAGGGGGATTGTTCACACTAAAAACAGCGTCTTCAACGAAACTTTCGCACACTTCCGCCGGTGATCGGGTATTTTTCAGTGCTTGATGAAGGACACATACAGCATGAGAGAGAACATTCAACTCAATTTGCTCTTTTTCCAGCTGACTTCGAATCACTTCTTGTACTAAGCGATGGACACAAAACGAATCTGTACCGTACCTTTGAAACAGGGAAAATTTGGTGAGAAGCGATACTATCTCGGCTTGATCCCAAAGACTGCTATCTTCTGAACTGCCATCCTCCTTTAGCCCTTTATTGACCAACTCGTATGGAATGTCATCAGGGCCATAAAAAGCACAAACCTGCATAAAAAGAATGGGAGCCCTTCCAAGTTCCATCTCTTCTGAGATTTGCCTTATGTGATCAAAATTCAAAATCCATGTTGTGTGGACAGCTAGCCGCTCAGGAGAAGTGTTTTCGACGAATTGTTGGGCCGGTCTCTTTTCCAAGAGTAGCAGCTTCTGCTTCTTGTATTTCTCCATATACTGCTTTATGGATTGTTTAACCCATCGTATATAAGCCCCAGCTTGATCGAGAGCTAATGGCAGTCCTCCAAGTTCTCTAACCAGTTGACGCAATTCGTTTTCTTCTCCCCGATCTTTCCCAGTTCGCAGCCGTAGGAACTGAATGCCTTCTTCTTCCGTTAAGCATTTTAAGTCAATGCAACACTTCTCGTCAATTCCTGTTTCTTCCCCAATTTCTGAAACCTCCCTTCTTGTTGTTATGAT